ATATTGTATTATATTATATTATATTATATTAGCATTGTATACTATATATAATAATTAATATAATATAATATTAATATTTTTTAATATAATATTTTAATAATATAATATTTAATATAATACATTATTTTATTTATACAAAATATAATATGTTATACAATAATTACTAATTAACATTATATTAGTATGCTACATTATATAATAATTGATATAATATATAATAATATATTTAATATAATATTTAATAATATATTATTTAATTTAATATATTATAATATTGTATCATAGGCATATAATGTACTTTATAAAATATTATAATATTTTACTTTATTCAATGTAATATTTTAAAATATTATATTAAAATTAAAATAATTATATAACATGATAATTATAATAATATATATTAATAGGTATCGTATTATAGTTATAAATATTATATTATTTCAAACTATAGTATTATATTATATTAATATCATAATATTTTACTAATAGTTAGTAATTATTAATATTATATTATAATAGTATGTCATATATATAATAACTATAACATATTTTATAAATTAATTATATAATATTATTAATATATGTTAGTATAATATAATATGATAAATAAAATATTATATATATGTTATTATATAATATTATTAATATATGTTATTAAAATTTTAATATATGTTACTAAAATATTATATGATATTATAATAAATACGTTATACTATAATTACTAATTAATATTATATAATAATATATTACATAATATTATTAATATATTATGTTATTAAAATATTATATAATATTATAATAAATATGATATACTATAATTACTATTATATAGTATTATTAATATATGTTATTAAATTATGTTATTAAAATATTAATATATGTTATATTTTATATATCATATCATATATTTATAATATAATTAGCATGTATTAGTTAAGTAATACAAAAATATTTTAAGATTATCCCAATTGCCTTCAAAGTGGAACAACATTGTTCCAATATGAAGGATGGGGTAAATTTGGGGTAATTATGAGGAAGGGGTGGAGGAGATCTTTATATAGTTGGTGTAATTTAGGGGAAAGTGAAGTATTTATCCCCCAATTACCCCAACAAACCAATAACACCACAAAGTTGACTCCAATTCCAATTACCCCAATGAATAACACCAAAAAATGATGTTCCAAAAATTATCTCATTATTCCCCAAATTACACCAATGAATAACCCCCCCTTACATACAATTGAGACATTGTAACTATTCATGCATACAACTGTAATTACAATTGTTTGGTTCAATTTAAAAAAATTCTTATAGTTGTAATTGTTTAGTACTACTTTAACTTTTTGTATGCAACTTATTTTTTACTTTCAAGAAATAAAAACCAATTATTAGTTACTTTTATATATTACAATATTCATTTTAAAAAATTATCGTTTCTTCTTTTTCAAACTTTTACTAAAATTATATTTATTTTGAAAAAATAATACAATTGAAAAGTAAATATTTTTTGAAAATTCATATTTTTAGAGTAGTATTCTTCAAAGAATAATATTTAAAAAATAAGGTTTCTTTCAAAAAATAATATTCTTTTAAAAATATTTATTTCAAAATAGTATTTTTGGAAGAATAAAAATTGTTCTTTAAAATTTTTTTTGATTAATAATATTTTTATATAATAATTTTAAAATATTTATATTTTTCAAAAATTAATTTAAAAAAAATAGTTTTCTAAAAAATCCTTTTTAAAAAGTAATTGATGTGTCAGCTTCAGTGCACTCTACTGTGCTCGAAGGTCTTTTGAGATAACGCACTGTGACGCGTCATCGTCTTCGCTGAAATTGACAGAGACAACTGCTTTGGGAGTTGACTCACCGGCCATTTTTCCGATCTGGAGTAGGATTATGCTCTGGAGTGGGTTGATTTAGGGTTAAGGGTTTTGCAATGGAATTATGCTCTGGAGTCGGTTCGCTTGGACAGAAGATGAGATGACACGATCGACGAGGAATGATATAGATAAACGGGAGGCGATTAAATCAAAGGGTATTTTGGGAAAAGTTTTTTATGTTATAGCGTCGGGTCATCGTGGGAAAGACGTATTTGGGGGCTAAAGATTTTGGAATGGTTTTGAGGGGCTTTGGGACCGTTGAAAAAGTCTTGGGGGGGGGACACTTGTAATCATTTTGGGGGCTATAAGCAATTTTCGCTAATATTTTTTGAAGAAAGATCATCCATTGTTAGTCTGTAGGGGTCGTTGTATTTTTGTTTAATTACGATGTAGAAGTTTTAAAATCATTTCTTGATTCTCTCTATTATACGACAGCAAGGACTTCTTAGTTTCCTTTAAAGTTAGAAGCCTCTAAGCTCTAACCTCTCTATTTACTTATGCAAAGAAATTATTTTTCATTGACATGGGTTTTCAAAATTCTTGGCTTCTTTCCAATCGGTCGGAGGATTCCTTGTTTCCTGTTATGTGTTTTTTTTATGGGTGAGATATGACCAGATTTTCCATGCTATTTAGAGCATGTTTGGAAACTTGGCTTATACTTATAATCCACAAATGAATTACAAGCCAAGTAGATTATAAGCCAAAGTGTTTGGTAAGAAAAAATGACTATAAGCTACATCCAATAGGAGAGTGTTTGGCAAATGGGTGGATTATAATCAATCATTATTGTTTAAATGATAAAAAGGACATAGGTTTTGGAACTATCTTAAACGTGCCCCGTTTGGCAAAGGGTTAAGGAGGAGGGATTAAAGAGAAGGGTTAACTTAGTTAACCCATCGTGAAGGGTTAAAAAAATTCTAAACCCGTTTGGATATGATAGTTAAGACAAGGGGTTAAGTCTTTTGTGTTTGGCAAATGAAGAGGGGTTAAGGAGATTAATCTCATAATTTTTTTAAAAAATACCACTTTCGCCCTTATTGAAGATTTATAAATTTCCACCAAACACATCAAGCTCCATGCCCTTATTGAAGATTAATCTCATGGTTCTTAGACTTGCTAATGATATTTTTTTGAGAAAAGATTTGCTAGTCATATTAGGAGAGATTATCAAGAGAGAAAATGGAGCAAAAGTTGCATAACATAGCTAGTTTGTGTGGTTATTGTGATTTTTTTTCTTTTTTTTCCTCCTAACTACAAAATAGATATCATTAAATGAAAAAGTTACATGTTTTCAACTCTCATCTTGAGAGTGAGCAGTTTCAGAAGTGAGACATCCCTCACTTTTACAAAACCATTACACCATACATGTATGTGTAAATACAAAAGGTCATGTGAGCTATATATTTTGGAGCTCTTACTAATACAAAATACACTGAAACCAAAAAGAAAACCAGTTCTCATCTTGAGAGTGAGCAGTTTCAGAAGTGAGACATCCCTCACTTTTACAAAACCATTACACCATACATGTATGTGTAAATACAAAAGGTCATGTGAGCTATATACTTTGGAGCTCTTACTAATACAAAATACACTGAAACCAAAAAGAAAACCAGTTCTCATTGCTACCTCCTCGTCCGAGATCCGCATTGCAATTGACAAAATACAAAAAGGTGTCTGACACACCCTCTAGTGACCTGGGCACCCACGAAACCAGCCTTGCAACTTTGGAGAACACTCTATATCTAGGTCCAAGTTATGCCCCGGTTGCACATGATTCTCTGCTACAGTGTTTTATTGAAATGCAGGTTCATCATTTTCCATTATAAGATGGTCTGGTTCGCTACAGGGTACATTCCCATATATGCTGCCGAAATGAACACTGACATCCTCTGCAACAATTGATCCAAACCAAAAAAAAGATCCAAAATAGTGTAGAGAGAACAACTGAGAAATGCACAAACAATTTCTGGTTCATATGAAAACAGTTCCAACAGAGAGGCCACCCGCTGGGGGAACACAACAAAAACCATCACAGCAGAAAACTCAAACCTCTGCTACAGTAATTTTTGAATGTAGAAACACCCGAATCAGTGCCATACAGCTGGTGTCCTCTGCTACAATGATTTCTGAATGCAAAACACCCACTTCCAGCAGATACCAAGGCCAACAAACAGGCTCCAACACAGGATATCCCAAGACCAGGCAATAGAAAAAAAATCCAAGAGAACCAAACCGAAAGCCATATGCCATAAAACCAAATTGTACATACCAGAATGTTGAAAACACTTGGATCCGTGCCATATAACTGATGTTCTGAACCGATTGCATAAGTTTGCTTGCAAAATCTTCAAATAAATTCATCTTCAACCAAATTAAAAACGAAAAAATTAGATGTGAAAGGCGGCAATATCACCAGCAAGCATAACTCTTAACAAAGATACTTCTATATCATAATACATGCAAGCTTTCAAAAATTGCCAAAAGATGAAAAATCTTGTATGGCAGCTGCTTTCTGTTCTGCTGACCATCTCATATTTTGTATGACTTTCTCTTGGGAACTAAATTATGGCAATCTGATTCTATTTTGCTTTAATGTTTGTCTTAGCTATAAGTATGATTCTATATAACAAATCATATCATACTAAAATCTAATCACCACTGAATGCTTGATGGAAAACTGGGTCAGGTTTCTAAATGCCCCATTTCTGAGTCTTTGAACAGGTTCAGATGTTGACATTTATTTGACCGAAATGAATGCTGAACTTGAATGTTTACTGAACAGGTTCATATGTTGCACTCTACTTGGTATCCCTATTTTCCATCAAACGGATGTACATTATGAAGAAGTACAAAAATGGGAGGTCAATCAAGGATATATGATCACGAAAAAGATACAAATTCGCAGAGGCTGGCATAAAACTTTTCTAATGAAAAAGTCCAAAATAGAAGTGCAATAAGTCCCACGCTATGTGCCTATGTGGCACAAGGCTCACAACTTAACTCCAGACCAACAATCGAGAGCTAAACAAGCTCGAATCATATGTGCAACTGGAAAAACAGCACACAGATCCGCATGAACTCTCACAGACACATCCCATGAATCACAGGTAAGCACATGTGTGCACAAGATACTTTCACAACATACTTTCATAATTCAGGGTTCTTCGAGGAGGGTGAGCTTCCGCCAGGTCCGGTATTCTCTGGGGCTGACAACATGGACTGCTTCATGCAGCAGGTGTGCGACGCCCTTCGTGATGGCTCCCTGGGCATTGATCTGAACATCGATCTTGGGCAGGCAGATGGTGTTGATCCCACCGGTTCATTTTCAGATATACCTACATCCGGTGCTGCAGGTGTTGCGACAGAAGGGCCAGACGGGGATGGGGCCTCCCCTATTGCAGATTTCGAAGAGCAGGGATATGTTCCTGCACCGGTCTTCCCGAGACCTGACTCTGGACTGTTAGCCGATATGTTAGCTGAACAAGCTCCCACCGGGACTGTGAGACCACTCTTTGAGAGTGATTCATCCACAGGTATATATCCAATTTCCTCTCTTCTTTGCTTGTCTCAGTCTCCATTTTGACTAATAAAGAAGTGCAACTATATGACCAGGCGCTGTACCTGATTCTGCTATAGCTTCGGGTGTTTTCCCGCCTTCGCCTAATACGACTGACTTGCCCACGAGGGTTGATATACCTTCCATGAGCATTCCTGTCGTTACTTCGGAGCCTGTCGAACCCCAACCCGAGGGGATTTCCGCCGGTATAGGTATACCTCGAATTTCCCTTAGGGTCTTTTCGATTGTATTTAATAGTTTCTTGACCTCCCATACTGCTGCTTGCAGGTTCTCGACCGTCTCTATATGAGCAGGTCCATGCTCTCTTGGCCGATACCAATCCAGATGGGGATGTCTTCCGCACTGACCTCGGCTTCTTTACTGCCTTTTATAACGGCGTGATTGATAAGCTTCTGCACAGAGGGTCTTCTTTTGATCAGTTCAGGCGTTCCTTCTCCCGTCACATGATGATGATGAGGGAAGAGGGATATCCGGATTTGGCCGATTCCTTTACAGCTGATTTCGCTGCCCTGGAGTCAGAGATTCGAGAGCTGAGGGAGTTGAAGGCTGGTGGAGCTCCCTCTTTTGCATCTTCTCAGGTGGAGGATAGGTTGACGCAGTGGCATGAACGTAACTCGTCGATTCACTTTAGTCGTTCGTCGACGTCGATTAGGCTCATGTGGATTGGATGGTGACGTTCATCGTCGTTCGTTAACACTGAACCGATTGTGGAGAACTATAGGCAATTTTCGATGCCTACATCTGCCGCTACCATTTCTGAGGAACTGGTTGGGTTGGAACGTTCTCGTGAATGGACACTCGACAGGCTGGGATCAGCGCAGGAGGGGTTGATGAAGCTGCGACACGAAGCCGCAGAGGTTCTCAACAGTTCCGAAGATTCTGTCCGAGCTAGCCTGCAGGCGGAGTTCGAGCAGGACTATATGGACAGGCTCTCCGGTTTAGAGTCTCATATTCTTAGCCGTCGGTTGCCTTCGGACTAACGAGCTTTTGTTGTATGCTTTTGACTTGATTTTCAATTTAGCCTTCTTCGCTTACGTGCATGAAGAACTCCATCCAAATCCAATGAACCAGAACAGAAGCACTGCTTCTTCCTCTTCTCCTATATGATGACCTTGAAGATCCTGCACTGTTGGCTTCCATAGAACCTTCTGGAAAACTGACATCCCCCTGTATTACTGCAGTTGTGATTGACCCAGAGACTTGATCAGCAGCAGAAGCCGATGCTAAATTTCCCTAGGTATCAGCTGCTCAGGACTGGAAGGATTCATCGAAGATGTTGACGGTCCATATCTATTATATGCATTGAATCTATTCCAAACTGACGGGCCAATTCCATCACTAAAAATTGAATGTATATCACTATTTCGAGGGTGAGTAGTAGTCGTACTCTCTCCACTCCGATGCCAATGAATATTGATGTATCCTTATCCAGGGCATTGCGCATAGAAATTGAGGGTCGGTTTTGGATTTAATACTTTTTCTTAATCATGTTGCTCATATTAGAATAAAAATACAAGTCAATTGAAAATCATAAACTGGATGAACAAATACAACTAAAAATTCAAATTAGGAAGTAGAGTGAAGAAACAGACCTTTGTCTTTGCGGGGGGAGCCAGGCGGCGGGGTATCGCTGGCCGGAGATTGAGTAAGGTCGTCGAGGTCCCCGCCGACCTTGAAGGTGAGCTCGGCGTGGAGGTTCCGGAGGTTGTAAGCTAGGGTTTGGGATTTGGACAGAGTACGGTTAGGAGGAAGCGGGAGAGGGAGGGGCGAGCGGAGAGGTGGGCGGAGGGGTGGGCAGAGAGGTGAGTAGAGGGAAACAACTTGGGGGGAATTTTTACAGGATCTCTCACAAGATTGGGGGAAAATTTTAGAGGGGAAATTTTAGCGGGGAAATATTAGGGGGGAAGAAGTAGAGGAATCACCAGATCCGGATGAAAAAATCGCTCTCATAATTCCGCTGCCTACCCTCGCATGAGAAGGCGGAACAAGCCTTGTTCCGCCTTCCTTGGAGGAATTGTTAACCCGTGTTTTGACGGGATAAATGAGTTGTTGGCATCACGTGCGGGTTTATTAATCCTTTGTCATTTTTTTGTGTTTGGTAGGCAAATGGAGGGTTAAACCTCCTTAACCCCTCATTTATCCCCTTGCCAAACGCAGCCTAAGGGGTTAGCTTACTTGGTCAAACAACCCAGCTTATAAGCCACCAAAAAAATAAGCTGAGTTGACGCAACTTAATTTTCTTAGCTTATAACTAATATAAGTTGGTTGCCAAACATATTACAGTGGCTTATAAACCACAAAAGTGGCTTAGATAAGCCACGTTGACCAGTTCCTAAACACGGTATTAATTGTCTTTTACTAGGTCAAAGCTTGGATTTTAGGGAACTGCATCAATTCTTTATTTCTACCTCTGCATGTTAGATTTTTATAGGCAAGATTCTTCATATCAAAACACAATCTTAATTCTACAACCAGCAGGAAGAAGAGATCCAGAGCAATTGAAAGTTGATCAATTCTAAATTTGTAAAGATCTTCAACCTTTTGCAACAGTCTCTTATATATTTTGCATTGTTGATCATTAATGTTATGTGTTTTATGATTTGTAGGGTTCTTTTGATTTCTTAGTTATAGCATTTGAAACTGCAGAATTCACAATAAGGAACAAAGTAGCGATCACCATGGATTTGCTCAGCACTCAAAATGAAATTATGCGAATGAGAGATGAACAAGGGATTTACTAAGAATAAATAGTGGTAGAAACAAGATCATAACTATAAAAAGAGAGCAGAGACACTGGAGAATTCATGGTCACACTGTATTTTCTCCGACTGATGTTGCTAATCCTCTTGTGAATCAACTGATTAACAACTTCACGTTCCATACTGATATCGTAATAAGACATTGTTAATAATATCTAAATAGGGAATTCCTACCGATACTGCCCAGCATCAGCCTAAAAAGATATGAGATGTAAGTACATCAATTAAATAAAACAAACTATTTATTACTAAAAACTAAGCAGGGTTAAAATTTGGAAGAAATGAGGGATAGTTTTTGTTTTTAGTGAACTGCTTCGTTTGCTTAAAGTGTCAATCGGTAATTTTAGAAAATTGCAAATACCTCCCTTAAAATCTTAAAATTGCAAATCAACTCCTTAGAATCTTAAAATTGTAAAACCGTCCCTTCATGGGGTCCTATTGTAATTTACTTTTATTGTTAGGAGTTAATCATGAAAACAAAAAAAATTAGATAATCACCAACAAATGATTTCCGATTTTGGACCTATGATGAGATGGAGTTGAGAAATGCAACATCAAGAGGGCATAATGCACATGCTGAAGTAGGGGGTGTCCATTTGGGCCTGAAGCCCGTAGCCGGCCAGGTGTCCGGACCAGACCCTGCCGGGCCCGAGCCCATCCCGAGCCCGAGAAATGCCTAGATTTTCGGGCCGAACGAGGCCAGGGTCGCGTCGTGGAGGCCCATACCAGGCTCGGCCCGGCCGTCTCTCTTAGGCGGGCTGGTAGCCCGGGTTCGGGCCTGCCCGGACCTGGCAAAAAAATTTGGACCGGGCCGATCGGTCGGCCCATGGTCCAGTAGTCACAAGCGTGACTGTTGGACCGGCCCGGGCCCGGGCCGTCCAGAACGAGTCCACAGAACTGACGCAATTGGATCGAGCTGTCTTGATCGACCCAGTCCAAACGGTCACAAAGGTGACCGTTGCACCTGGGGGCCGGCCCCGGCCAACCATTGCATCGGGCCAGGTCCGGGGCCCGGACCTAGCCCTGTTCGATCTTACCAAAATATCCTTTAACGAGTATTTTTGGTCTTTTGACCAAAATAACTCCAAAATGATCAAAATTTGAGGGTATTTTGGTTATTTAGCAAGTGGCTGCCTCAATAAATAGAGAGAGATTTTATTTACTTTCTCATCCAAAACTCATCTACTTCTCTTTACTACTCTCTTATTCTCTCTTTCACTCTCTAATTCTCCAGTCAAATGGATTCCTCCTTCCATTATGTAGGGCAAGTTCCAACTCCCAATATTGAAATGAGTCCTACCCCTACTTCTACTACACCTACCGCAACTCTTCCTACCAATGTTGATCCCGAATCCAATAGCGATGATCCCACACCTAAAGCTCCTAAAAAGCCGAGATCTAATGTGTGAAATTTTTTCAAGAAGATAGAAGTCTTCAAGTATCATCATGGTAAACTTCTCATCCAAAAGGCTAAATGTGCGTTATGTTGCCATATTTTCTAAGCTCATAAAAGCGGTACCAACCACCTCAAACGCCATTTAGAAAATCACAATAGAGCTCAAGCAGCAACGTCCCAATGAGACATCCGTCAGTCTCTACTCTCCCAATCATCAACCTCTGGTCGCCTCGATTTTTGGAACTATGACTCAATTAAAGCTAAGAAATGCGTCATCATGTTTATTGTTCTTAAAAACCTTTCTTTTAAATTAGTAAAAATGATGAATTTGAGGATATGATTAGAGATGGTTTTTATCTCTCATTTACAAAATTTTCTCGTCGATCTTGTCAACGAGATATTTTGAAATATTCTCATGATGAACAAACAAAAATAATTTCTTATTTTCAAAATTTAAATTATAAACTTTCTCTAACTTTTGATATTTGGACATCTAGAGCACAAAATAGTAATTTATGTATCACAACATATTGGATTGATGATAGTTGGTAAATGTTTAAAAGAGTTATTTTTTTATTACATTTGAAGATTCACACATTGGTATTAATATTGCAAATTTAATAATAGAAGAACTTTCAAAATTAGAAATTTTTGAAAAAAAATATTTTCTCTTTCACTAGATAATGCAAGTAATAATAATGTACATGTAGATCATATCAAACCATCTTTGCTATTGCCATGTCATGGTAATATTTATCATATGTATTATATTTTAAATTTAATTGTTCAAAGTGTATTTAATGAAATTAAACTCATGGTAGAAGAGATTAAGGTTATAGATTATGCTCATAATGCTTCTAAACAAAAACTTAAAAGATGGAAACAATTCTTTAAAAGACAAATATTTAGAATCCAGGTAAATTTCAAAAGATGTTGATCATAGGTAGAATTTTACCTATGCAATGTTAAATGTAGCAATAGAGTATAAAGAAATTATAAATGATTTTATTGCTTTCAATGCTTCTAGTTCTAGCTCTGGTAGTATGTATGGAATAACTAATGAAGAATTGACAGTTATATATAGTGTAAAAGAGATGTTACAAGTTTTTTATAATGCTACTGTGTTGTTATCTGGTTATTATCATCCAATTATTATTCAAGTTGCTTTACAGGTTTTAAATATTCAAAAAAAAATACTTCTTATCGTATGGATAATTATCTTGAAAATATGATTTTTTAAATAAAAAATAAATTTAATAAGTATTTTAGGCATATTCCTATTATTTTTGGTTTGGGGGTTCTTATGGATTCATGTTTGAAGGATATTAGACTTCAAAATTTGTTAAATTCTTTGTATGATAACATGATAATATACACTTATGACGGTCAGACTACTACTACTCTTACTCATGATAACACTATTAAATATTATTTTTAAAGATTATATGAGCAGTGTGCAGGTAGATATGATGTGTAAGTACACATCAACCTATAGCTTCTGTTTCTACAAGTTCAAGCCAGGGAAAGGTAAGAGTTTTGGTAGGCAATTAATAATAGCGAGGCTAACTAGTAGCCATGGATTTGATCATGATTAAGGAAAGTTTTTAAAATTGAATATTATTTATCCGCACCTTTCATTGATGCTCAAAATAATGATTTCGATATTTTACGATGGTGGAGAGCATATTGAACAATTTCATATCCTATATTTTCCATCATGGCTCGCGATTTACTAACGGTGTAGGTTTCCACAATAGCTTCAAAATCTGCCTTCGATATATCAGGACGTTTGATCGAGGACCATATATATCGCTAGATCCGTCTACCATACCAGTGGTAATATGCCTACAAGTTTGGTGGAGGTTCGAGAAGAGAACTCAATGCATCGATCAGATGGCTAGCATTGAAGATAGACTTGGTGTGTTGACAATAGGAGATAGAGATAAAGAGTAGAAATTAGTCAAATTACACATTAATTTGTAATTTTTATTTCTTAGCTGTAATTTTTTGATAATTTATTTCGGAAAGAGTTATAAATGATAGTAATATAGATGAATAGGTGTCAACCTAGTTGGAATGTATTCATCTATTGTGATGCAAGAAATTCCAAAAAATATTTGTAAATATTAGTGATTTAATAAAAAATAATTTATTATTTTACATTTTAATTTCTATGATATTTGTATTTGTAAATTGTATAATTAAAAGTGATTAATAATATGATTGATTTTTTTTCAAGTTTTTGCATATTTTATTTTTAATTACTCTTGAAATTTTATTTTTTTAGGAAAAAAATAATTTTAAAAAAAGAAAATCAGTCGGCCGGGCATTGGACGGACTCGGCCTGATCCAACCGAGCCCGAGTCCGGGTGTCCGTTTTGCCTGGCCCGGACCCGATTTTTTGGGCCGAGCTGGCCCGGTTGGACACCCAGCACTGAAGTATCAAATGAATTCAATAAAGCTAACTTTTAGCTAGAAAACAAGCGTCTGCTTGCCCAAGCTTGGATCAGCCGTGAGCAAAGGTGAAAGACCCAAAGTCTTACACAATTAACCGATGCAAGTATACAATTTTTCCCCCTTCCAGCTAAAGTATTTTATACAGTTTAAATTAATGGAAAATTGCACGCAAGAAAATTTGTAAATTGTTAAACGCTCTTCTCATGAAAAAGTCAAACTCGTTTTAGTGCTTGAACCCAAGTACCCATGCTAAAACACCTCCAGCCCAAAATAGTCTATACTACTTATACTATAATTGACCTACGTGAGCTCTTAAATTAAGTCTTTCTAACCATTGCACAAAAACTCAAAGTTATGGTGAGGGTCGAGAATTAAAGTTTTATATTAATTCCAACATGCCCCACTGGTTGAGTGCCCGTTTATGGGCTGAGAACCTGGACTCACGTAGCGGTAATAATTTTTTTAAATCCGTATTAAATTTGTAGCCAGCAAGATTCGAACCTGGTTAATCTGATGTCATCTTAATATAAGTTCTTTTAACCATTGCACCAAAACTCTGGAGTTATGATAAGAGTCGATGATTAAAATTTTATATTAATTCTAACATGGGCTGACAACTTTTTTTATTTTATTCAGTTTTTGGCAAAATAGGATTTGACAATTATTGGTGGAAAGATCTCAAGCTAAGGGGGGTAGGGGGTGGGGGTTAAGAAATGATATTGCATTAATGATAATGGGAGGGGTTTTTTTAAGAGGGAAATAAAATTCGAGGGAAACAAAATTAATTCCCTCCATACAAATATCACAAATTTTGTACTTGTCATCTAGGATCTCTTGCTTATCTTCTCTCCTCTCTAGATTCTACTCATAAAATTTTCAACCAAAATGTATTTCTTTCTTATCTTCTCTCATCTTTTGTTTTTTACACATGACTTATGTGTATTATATGTTATATTTTTTCCCCCTTGGTGCGTGAGATTGGATCATATAATTCTAAGATCGTGGAACTTCTATCTTGATGTTTTGACATCTTTCTTTACCGAAATAACTCTCATCTTGTAGGTAAAAGAGATTCTACTGCCAAGTATAGTTCAGAGGGTATATAATTATTTTCACTTGCAGGTCTATGATTTGTTTAGGTTCAACTTATTTGTTTCAATTTACTTCTTCTTAATAAATTGAGCCTTCATTATATCATCTCAAAAAGGAAGAAAAATGCCAAAAATTTGCTATTTCAATTGTGTATGCAAACGCTACTTATAATTGGCTATTTCTAATAGTCTATCTGACCCCCATTAAGTTATGTCACGTGAATTATGATTGGCTTGATTGAATTATTTT